TAGCACTGCATGACCTGTGATTTGTCAAGCCATGTTTCAGTTAAAAACATAAAGTCCAGATTAAAAGAAGAAATAAAATCATGAATTAGAAATGATTTCTTACATAAAGATCTGACATTGAGCACAGCAAGTTTCTGATTAGTTTCAGTAGGACTGGGTGTTATCTTCTTACAGGGAACGTGAACTAAATTTCTCTGATTAGACAGTCTAACTGTCCTTCTTTTAATCCGTCTATGTGTTGTAACTGGAGATATAGCTCCATCGCAGGGCCCCAGCCTGATATTACCTTTATCATGACTGTATGTCCTGGGACAGCAGAGGCCCTGTGCATCCTAACTCTTGGTGATAACAGCTCTGGGGAAAGGCGGGGGAGGGCGAGCAGGGGAGAGTTTGGGTGAGTGACCAGGTGAGTGACCAGATGAGGGACCAGGTGAGTGACCAGGTGAGTGACCAGATGAGGGACCAGGTGAGGGCCGAGGAGGTGGAATACGGGGAGGTTTGGGTGAGGGGCCAGGTAAGGACCGAGGAGGTGGAGTAGGGGGAGGTTTGGGTGAGGGGAGAGCTGAGAGAGTCTCTGGTGGTGAAACAGGCACAGCTTTGTATTTGTATCGGGGAGAGTTCAACATAGTTGATGTCAGAACCCTTGACCGTGCTATATTAGGTGTGAGAGGAACCATCTTGATTCCCGATCTGATGAGGCTTTCTAGATGGTTGGGCAGTGCCATGGGTGAAGGTGGGGAGGAGAAGGAGAGTGAAGAGTCCGTTGATGGAGTAGATGTAGCAAAGGGGACTCCAGGCTGGTCTGTGGGCAGCGAAGGTGTTGGGTGTGCTGGTGGCGCTTAAAATACATGTTTACTAATAGTTTTGCTAAAACACTGCATCCAGAACAAGCATCATATAAAATAATAACAACATTTTAAATGAATAATGTCTCTATAGCCTATCTGTAACCAGTGGGCTAACTCTAATACATATTTGATATGATCTTGCGGGTCAAATATAAATGTATCACAGCCAAATTTGGCCCCTGAGCCTGAGTCTGACATGTCTGCTCTATAATTTAAATACAACTGTAAGTATTCAGTCTAAGCATTCAGAATACAGTACTCTGATTGGACCATGTATTGGAATATGTTACAAAATACATTTTAATGCAGGTATTGAGTATTAACCAAGCACTTTCAAAGTAGACATATTTTTCCCATCTTGGGTTTCTGAGTGCACCTGTGAGTTGTGCAGTGGTTGGCATTTGAATCCCCACTGTTTAATTCTGTCTGTGCATCTTTGCATGAATGTGTGATGTTCTATAATTGAAAGAATTGTTCAGCAGATTAGCCATGTGCCAGTCAGATCTAGCAACCAAAGTCACTTACAAATGTTCTGCAATCTGCGACCAATGATTGTATACTTTGACCTAATTTGTAAATACCAACAAATTAAAGTAGGCTACAGCATTTTCCAAAAGCATTCCATGTTTTATTTTTCATTTTTACAATACATTCATTCCAGACTAACATTTCACCCATTAATAGGCTCTGTGCACAGCAGCGCGCCAGCTAGCTCACTGTGTCTCAAAGCTAACAGTCATGTCTATTAAAATCATAAAACATAAAATAAACAACTTATTCAAATTTATTAAAATAAATAATAATAATGTGTAGCATACTTCAGTTTGTGGTGCTGTTAGAATATTTTTTATGCCTCAAAATTTGTGTTAGCATTAAGACACAAATATTTCTCTTTCTAAACACAGAAGTGCCGTCCGCTGAAGTATTCATTGTTCATTATTTATTTGTGTACTTATTAACATGTTGTCAGTGACATTCACCCACAGCACCCTGCTCACTATCTTATCTTTAGATATTTATTAATTCTAATATGACTTGAGAAAAATCTTACAGAGATAAAATTGAACAGGAAGTAGTAACGCTAACAGTTAGTATTGTGCACAGAGCCTATTGGACCAAAGGCAGTGTGTTCCTAGAGATCAGATGAGAGCATTAACATATCTTTGCATTCAACAGTGTGTAACAATCAGGAATGACTCACGTGAAGACTCCAGTTACTGTTCTCAAAAACACATTGTAGTGTATGAGGCTTGCTTCTGAACCTGTCATGTTATAATGAATTTAATACCTCATCAATATTGCAATGTGGAGAAAAGTACTATCATCAAATGTATCTAGAAAATGAAAAAGGTCATTGCAAAGTGTTGCATAACAACAGCTATAAACTAATGGTGACCGGTGAGAATTGTTCTTCATTGCCAAGCTCTATAATATTCACAAAAGACAAATACATTAAAAAGATTTAAACATTAAAAATGGACTCTTATGAGCTTAAAGCCATGTTATAATGCTGTTACCTCATAAAAAACATACCTGGAGTTGTGTTTATGTCAATCACACTTTATTTTTTATTGGTCTGTCCACATTTCCAAAGCTCTAAATGCTCTTTACCACCTTTTGTTGTCATGTAGCAGCAGTTTTCAAGTCAACAGCTACCTTTTACCTTTAGTTAAGAAGAGATTGGTGGTTCCAGGGCTGAAATCATCCAGTGATTCAACATATTTGAGGACTTCCTGTAAAACCGCATGACATCACAAGGTGGAACAGAGTGACTTCTATTTGAGGAAAGAACTTAGTCGAAATATGCAGGGTTTGTGTGTTAAACATGTGTGAATGAAACAAACATAATTCCAGGTTTGTTTGTGATGAGGAAACAACATTATAACATAGATCAGGACACAATGGGCCCTTTAACCCTCTCCAGGCAGGCGTTGCAGATTTGCAACAGCTAAATTCCAATTACCTACTTACTCCACATCCATATTTTATGAGCTTTTTTTTACTCAGGAGCCTTTTCTCCCATCCATGCTGATAAACATGGACGATGCAGACTGTGCAAGAATGGCTACACGCAAACGGCCTGCCAGAAGTGCAAAATACTTTTTTTGTTTACAAAGGATAAAAAAGTCAGGATTGTATATTACTACCCCATATTATAATTTTCCCCAAATATCAGATTTTTCCTGATGCTAAAAATTAATTTGAGCCTGAGAGGGTTAATGAACAGACAAATGTTCTGGCAGCCTGGTTCATATACAATGATGTGTTTTAGTATAACAAAAACAAAACATATTATTTTGTTCTTTGGCTGTTGATGTTTTGTATTGTTCTTTTTTTCCCCCTGTAAGTATATCATGTGAGATGGCAAGAAATCTGGTTTTGGACCCAATTTAAAGCTTGGACACACACTGCACATTGCTGCTGAGGCTTGTGCTTTCTTCTCAGTCACACAAAACACAATATATTCAACAAAAAAAAAAAAAAAAAAAAAAAAAAAAAAAGATTCAGTAAATACATTCATCAGTGGCATTGTTGATGTTGGGCAGTAAAAGAATATACTTCAGTTAAATAAATAAAATATCTAAATACATTTATAAATAAATAAATAAATAAATAAGATTGTGCATGTATGATAATGTATTACCTCAGTGTTCCCTTCAGCATATGAGGAACCCAAATCATGATATTTTTTTTTATTTATTTAAAATTTAAAAACTTAAATGCTACTGTGTGAACCACAGCACTGACAATCAACAGTCTATTTCGACCTGTGTGGATCTTTCATATTTACGGTAGCAAAATACAGAACAGCCCATTTGAGACTGGATCAACATATCAAAAACTCCAAATAATGACCAAATGACACTTTCAGTAAAATTTAGGCAACCTGTAACAGCAAAACTGAATTAGTATCTTATGTTGTCACGTGGAATTTGTCTAAATGTCATTTAATCAATTAAGTTAAAGGTGCATTGTGTAACTTTTCTGGTCGAGGGTCTGTCAAATGCTTTTCTTCATGGAGATGTTATTGCTTTGTCTGGTACGTTTCACAGTATCATATTGAACCTTTCTGTCTTCATGGAGACTAAACCAGACCAAGTTACAGGTCAGATCTGTGGAGTGTCAACACCACTCACAGTCAGAATGCTTGTTTTTCTAGGCATTCTTGAGCAATAAAACCAATTGTAATTGAAAAATTTAAAGTCGAGATGTTTCATTTCATACTGTGGAACATTCCAGGCAGAGCAATGACATTTTCACAGAAACAAGAAGGTGACAGAACCCCAGCCGAAAAGTTACATAATGCTCCTTTAAATTGGGTATTTGCAAACTATTTCAACTAAAATTCACAAAATCAACATGATAATTTTAAACAGCTGAGTCCACAAACAGGTCCGCAGGGTCAGACTCAAGAGAATTAAGGCCAGATAGGAAGATAATGAGCGCCATTGAAAATAACACTGTTTACAGCTGCTCTAACCAGTGCCACTATCGGACTGGCATCTGACAGTAAAGGTAAAGTGTAACCAGAACACGACTCCATAAAACATTGGCAAGAAATGTGTTTACTTGTGACCACTGAAAAATACTGGGGCAGTGCTATAAAGACAACCTTTAAAGGGCCCATATTACACTATCTTTTGATCTGTTATAATCTTGTTTCCTCATCAAAAACACACAACCGTTCCATATTTAAGATGAGTTCTTATTTCAAGCTAAAAAATCTGTTCCTCACTGGATGCGCTTTACTGTGTTTTTAAGATCCATACGCCTTCATCAGAATAATTTGTATAATTTCAGCCATGAAATTTCCAATCTCTACTAAAGAAAATGCAAAAGGTGGAGTAGCTGTTAAGTTGAAAACTACCACTTCATCACATCACAAGGATGAGCAGAGCATTTTGAGCTTTGGAGATATAGACAGACTAATAATAAAGGATTACTCAAACGTGTGAATGAAACAGAACACAACTTTGGGTATGTTTTTGAGGAGATAGCAGCATTATAACATGGTTAAAAGTTCATCAGAGTTAACTTGGTGTAATATAGGACCTTTAAAAAGTTGTGAGAATGTGGCATCCCCTTCATCCTGTTAGTAACAAAAAATATTATAATTGTTTGTGGGTATAGAGTACATATTTTTACTGTTGGCTGTTATGTTGAAATCACAGGCCCAAACACATGGCCGTGGTCAGAAGAGCCAGACCTCCAAACATCTGGATGAACTGGACTGTCTTTGTGGACTGTGCCCCACTCTGCACCATCATCCCGGTTCCTACATAACGGAAATACATTCAAATTAATAAATGTTCAAATACATATAATACATTCAAATTATAAACTTGACGGTCATATATTCTTTAGTTCTTTAGCTCATAACCCACTTTGGTCACTTTTGTATTGTCATTATGTTATTATGTTATTTGTATGTTCAGAGAAATCCTTGGTTCATTTTCTTTAATGGTCCCATATTATGCTATTTTCTGATCTATTTTATAATGTTGTTTCCACATCAAAAACACATGTGGAGTTTTGTTTTATTCAGTCATGTTTAACACAAAGCTTGCATAAACTTGTTATATTTAGTTCTTTTCTCAAACAGAAAACACTTGAATTTGAAAACACTTGAAAACTACCATTACATGACATCACAAGGTGGAACAGAGCATTCTGACCTTTGGAGATGTAGACTGAGTAATAATAAAAGATTAATCAAATGTGTGAATGAAACTAAAACACAACTCCATGTATGTTTTTGAGGAGGTAACAACATTATAGCATGGCTGAAAGCTTGCAAGAGTCAGTTTTGTGTAACATTGCACCTTTAACTACTTAAATCTAGTCTATTTCTAAAACATATAAATGAACCATAAAAATGTGAAATGTTGTTCCATGTTATTATAGTTATAGTTTTCCCTCTTCCTTATTAATGCATTGTTCCATATCTATTAGATAACAAAGCTCATAAATGCTGAACTTAGGACTCAAGTTTAACATTATGTATAAAGGACTGCTAACTTTTAAATACTTTTAAATATTTTTTCAATGTTGGTGCTGTTGAACTGTGAATTTCATTGTATCTTATCTCTTTATCTAATTTGCATCAAGATTTCTAAATGTCCAGATGTTAATAATTTACTTTTTTACCTGTTGTTGATAACACATGTCTTGATGAAGATGTTATTGCTTTTGGGAAAGCAGTATCATCTCCATGAAGACAAATAGGTGGTTTAGTTTGATATTACTCATACACTAATTCAGAATCACCTCATTGATCCATTTAACTCTATACTATAATTTTATTTTTGTTTTTTTATTCATGAATCCCCATTAGTCTCTGCAAGTGCACAGATTACACTTCCTGGAGTTCACTCTTCAAAATAAAAGCATCACCCATTGAATACACATTAACAGTAAATCACATTAACAGTCTATACATACAGCAATTTCTATTTTTGAGGTACCATGTTCATGTAGCTTGCTGAACAATAACGTCAATTATCTGTTTTACCACCTTTACCTTTACAACTACCGCCTTGGATTTTGTAACCTCACCTGATTCCTGAGAAACAATGATCTCATGAGCTGGACCATCGCCTCCATCTCCCCATGAGCGGATCTCCAGCACCACGTAACCATAGTCTTTATCCAGAGGCAGGCTCGCTGAAGTCTTTGTTTTATCCAGGACCTTCAGAGTGGTCTGTCCATCATGCTTTAGCAAAACCTGCAGAGATCAGAAATTAACTGTAATGCATGTTTATTTTTTATTATATTTTCTTAATTGTCTGATCTAGGTATAAAATTAAAGCATAACATTTTATGACTTGGTTTAAACAGTATCAGTTGTCATAAACTGACAACAGGCAATGACTGTGCAGAATGATAAGGGCAATTCTGTATTATTGATCTAACAATGCATCGGCCTCTGTTAACTTTGAGCCAAACATTTTGATTGTGGGGAAATAGTAAATATTACATGTGCTTGTTTATGGTGGGATTGTAATCGAGATAAATTATAGCACTGATTACTCTAGCTGAATTATCATTATATAAACAGTATTTGAGTAGAAATAGTTTGAGAAGTTAAATAGCAAGTGACAGGGAAGACAGGTACTCTTTTCACTAAAACATAATTTAACATAATTATATTTAACATTTTACTAAGATCTAGTATTTTCAACAGACATAACCAGTGGTGGAAAGAGTAAAGCAAATTTGTACCCAAGTAAAAGTACAATTTCATGGCTAAAAATGTACTCAATTACAAGTGCAAGTACTGCTTCCATACTGTACTTATGCTAAAGTAAAAAGAACATGAAAAATACTGCTCAAAGTACTAGATACGAGTTACTTTGAATGATTTTTAGCAGCATCTTAGGTCAGTATTTTATATAAATTGAACAGTTTAAAGCTAAATGTAGTTGTTTCTCAATCAAAATCTGCACATTATCTGAGCTCTGTCCATACAAAGCAGGTAATGCAGTACAGATATGGTTGTTTGCCAGTTTAGAACGGCACAGAAACAGTGTTGAGACAGGCGTGGATTAGGACAGTCGAGACTTGTGCTGTGCTCATATGATTTTAAAAGTAACTAATTATAATTGCATGTCTGGAATTATACTCAGTTTCAAGTACAGGTTTAGAAATCTACTCAAAAAAGTACAGTTAAAGTACAGTTACCCAAAAAATCTTTTCAAATACAGTAATTTGTAATTAGTTACTTTCCACCACTATACATACATAAAGATGATTGCATAACCTTTTCCTAGCAACCATACTGCAGACGAGGACCAGAACCTGTCTAAATCGCACAATAGTTATGATTAAACTTAGAAAACACATTCATTTTTATTTATATATAAATTTAGGTTTATCTGATCTGGTTTATCTTGTGAGTAAAGTGTACTTGGATGGAATTTTCTGTGTTGATGACATAGTTCGAGGTATTCCCCTTTTTGAAACTCACAGTTTCTTCCCGTATTTTTGTCCTTGTCTTATCAGCTTTTTTCCACAAACTGATAGATAGCTATGATAAATATTAACCACAGTTATTGTCCAAATAAACCAAGGAAAAAATTTGAAAAGTTGTTGTAAAACGGAATATGTTAACCCGATATATTTAAGGTCAAAACAGATGTTCAAATTGAACTCACTTTGTACCCTAACACAGCAGATTCATTGTGCATCGCGATGACTGGATCCCATCTCAATAACAATGAAGAGCTTTGGGTTTTCCAAGAAACATTTCCAGGAGGGCGGTTAGGAGCTGAGGAGAGAACAATTTCAGAGTTACTGCAGGCTAACTTTGTTTTTTGTTTTTTTTTATAATGTGTTCTATTTGTTGTTTGCAAAAAAAAAAAAAAAAAAGTTAGTTATTTAGTTAAATTGCAGTCTTTTCAATTTGGTAATATTAAAATTGTGTGTGTGTTTTTTTTTAAATTTGCTTTGATATATCTTGCAGCTCTATATTGCAATGTGTTTTGAAGCAATAAAACAGCTGTAATGGAGTAAAGATAAGATAGGTCTATATAAGTTTAAAGGTCCTATATTACACACAATTGACTCTTGTGAGCTTGAAGGCGCATTATCAAAAACAAACCTGGAGTTGTGTTTTGTTTCATTCACACATGTTTGAAGAATCTTGCATTATTAGTCAGTCTACATCTCCAAAGATCAAAATGCTCCGTTCCACCTTGAGATGTAGTATTTTCAAGTTAAGAGCATACCTTTTACCTTTACTTTAGTAGATTTTTAATTCCAGGGCTAAAATCATCCAAATGATTCTAGTAAAGCTGTATGGAGTTTAAAAACAAAAACACAGTGGAGCACTTCCTGTATTACCACATGGCATCATACGGTGTTTTTTGTTTGAGAGAAAAAAACTCAGCTATAATATGCAGGATTTGTGTGTTAAAATGTGTTAAAAACAAAACATAACTCCAGCTATGTTTGTGATGAGAAAAAAACATTATAACATAGATCACAAAATAACATAATATGGGCCCTTTAATGCCATATTGTAGAACATTCCAAGCAATGCAGTAACATCTCCATGGAGACAAGCAGGCGGCACACATCCCATAAGAAAAGTTGCATAGTTCACTGTAAATGGCTCTGTAAGGTAGAGTGCAATGGATGGCAATTTGTGCATTAGTGTCTGGAGGCCAAGGAGTGAACAGGGCAGTCCAGCTCGTATCAGGTTTAATCCTGTTGGAGCTTTCACTTACAGCCTGCTGGCCCAGGAAGACTCAGCTGAATATCAGTTTTCTTGCAGTGAGAAGCTAGTGGGCCCTGCCGCTGATAAGAATCATCTCTGTTAGCCTGCAGCATGGGAGGTGACCACACAGCACAGTCACTCAACACTAGTCTAGACCTGGACTAACACCTCCATTTAAATTCACTGCCTAATCTAAACAATGCACCATCTACTGTACTTTAAGGTCGAATATGTGATATGATATTAAGCTATGTTAATACTATTATTAGTAGTAATCAGAGGTGTAGTGGGTGTGGTACGCGGAGGTACACCGTCCACCCACTTCTCTCGACGTGAGATATAAAAAAATAACAAATATAAAATAGCCTCCAACTTAAATGTCAAACCGGAGCTGGTGGCAATGGTGAAAACAACCTGCATAGGCTCATGTTATCTGCAGGACTGTCCTATATTGACCTGCGACATGAGGGACCAGGACTGATCCCAGGACTTGAACCAGGAGGACTAAAACAGGACTAAACCAGAACTAAACCTGGACTAAATCAGGTCTAAACCAGGACTAAACCATAACTGAACCAGGACTAAAACAGGTGGGCGGGATTCATGATGTCACAAATTGTGTAACCTCACTTAAAAAATCTCCACTATACCCCTGGTCGTAATAGTACTGGTAGTAGTAATAGTAGTAGTAGTAGTGGTGGTAGTGGTAGAAGTAGTAATTATAATATTGTACTGATTGGGCAACATAAGGGTAAAATTATTCAGTATTCAGTAGTATTAGTAAATACTAAATAAGTTGGAAAAAAAAAAAAGCTCCATTTTATCTGTCTGAAGTAGCTATACATTGAAATATAAACAAAAAATGATGGTACCATCACATTTTGGGGTAAGACAACTACAAATAGACTCCCCTATTGGGTGGGGAGTCTTTGCCTCAAGTGGAGGAGTTCAAGTATCTCGGGGTCTTGTTCACGAGTGAGGGAAGGACGGAACGTGAGATTGACAGGCGGATCGGTGCAGCTTCGGCAGTGATGCGGTCGCTGTATCGGACCGTTGTGGTGAAGAGGGAGCTGAGTCGAAAGGCGAAGCTCTCGATTTACCGGTCAGTCTTCGTTCCTACTCTCACCTATGGTCATGAGCTCTGGGTAGTGACCGAAAGGACGAGATCGCGGATACAAGCGCTCGAAATGAGTTTCCTCCGCAGGGTGGCTGGGCGCTCCCTTAGAGATAGGGTGAGGAGCTCAGTCACACGGGAGGAGCTCGGAGTAGAGCCGCTGCTCCTCCACGTCGAGAGGAGCCAGTTGAGGTGGCTCGGGCATCTGTTCCGGATGCCTCCTGGGCGCCTCCCTCGGGAGGTGTTCCGGGCATGTCCCGCCGGGAGGAGGCCCCGGGGAAGACCCAGGACACGCTGGAGGGACTATGTCTCTCGGCTGGCCTGGGAACGCCTCGGGGTCCCCCCGGAGGAGCTGGAGGACGTGTCTGGGGTGAAGGAAGTCTGGGAGTCCCTGCTTAGGCTGCTCCCCCCGCGACCCGGCCCCGGATAAGCGGACAAAAATGGATGGATGGATGGACAACTACAAATACACCGGGTGAGGATGAGAATCACACGTGAACCTGAAGAAGCAGTGTTTGGATAGACAGCTGTTGAAGGCCCTGATGACTTTTTTTTATGTCCCATGATGCACTTTTAAGTTTTTGGACATGTTTTTCCAAAGTGTTTTTTTAAGTACAAATGACAAATAAACTAAACTAACCTTACCTATTATCCAAACATTGTGTGTTGAGTGTGTTAGACATACGTGGTTTCCTGGTGGTGACAGTGGTCCGAGGAGACAGGGGACCCGTGCCTGCGTTGTTGTACGCCAGAACAGCCACATGGTACCGAGTGCTGGGTCTGAGCCCTGACACTCGAGCAAATGACTCCTGTCCTGCAATACGCACTCTGTCTGCTGCTGCTTCACGCTCGTGCTGCCTCCAGTATCGGATCTGAGCAGAGAAGCAGAGAGTATGTCTTATGTCTGGTATTTGACCACAGAGAAAAATACAAACTTGAGGTGAGACAATGGAGGTGAAAAGGCAAAAATATTAAAATTAGTGATATAAATTTGAACCAAACATCTTCTGTAGTTTACTCAATGCAAAAAAACAAAACAAAAAAACAAACAAACAAACCAAAAAACATCATATTTGAGGCATATACATGAAAAACAGATAGAAACCAACCAAAACATATATATTTGAGTAAACCAGATCTTACATTGGTGTAAAATACTGGATTTCATCTCTTTGTTTCACTTAACTCTCTTTAACTAACTTGAACAAATGAAGCACAGAATTAGATATTCACAAATGTGATAGAAAATGTATTGTGAGAAAACATTGTTTGAGGTTACAATAATATATGGATACAAGTTCATTCAATGAAATAAAAATGTATATAGTTAGATTTATATATGTGAAGATCGGAATGTTTTGTCCTTTCCACATGAAAGTTTATATGCTGAGAGAATAACCTCACTAAAGAACAGACATAAAAAGTTTTGCCTGTAGTGTCTCTCTTTGGAACATGTGTGTACTGTGTAATTCAAAATGATCAAATATCACCTCATATCCTCGGAGGATTCCATTGGCACTAAGCGGCTGCACTGGATCCCATGAAACCAGGATATCAAAGGCCGTGAGCGCTGTGGCGTTTATGCTCTGGGGACCCACAGTCGGAGCTGAGAAAAAAGAGGAGGTAATGACTGCTCTCTAATGGTAACTGACAAAACTGCTGGCAAATATGACACTGATACAGGAAACATCAGCAAGTGTTGTGTCTGGTCTGATCTTTATCATACATTTTTAATCAAATTTATGAAATCTGAAAAACAAAGATGCACTGTGTAACTTTTCTGGTGGAGGATCTGTCAAATGCTTTTTACCGTGGAGATTATATTGCTTCATCTGAAATGTTTCATAGTATGGTATTAAACATTTCCATCTTCATCGAGACTAAGCTAGACTAAGTTAGAAGTCAGATCTGTAGAGAGGATCACATTTCTAGGTATTTTTGAGCTATAAACCGACCTCTAATTGAGTAAATGTAAAGTAGAGCTGTTTAATGTCATACTGTTGAACATTTCAGGAAGAACAATGACATATCTATAGAAACAAGCAGGTGAGAGACCCTAAACCAAAAAGTTACGTAGTGCACCTTGGCAAGGCAAGGCAAGTTTATTTGTATAGCAAAGTAATTCAAAGTGCTTTACAGAATAAGAAATATAATAAAATCACAATGAAAATAATCAAAACATAAATAATCATGATAAAATTAAGAGAGAGAGAAGCGTGCAGAATGAAAAATGAAAACCTTTCAGTCATATGCACAGCTAAACAGTATGGTTTTGACCCTGGATTTAGACAGAGTCAAAATAGAGGCCTGTCACATCTTCAGGAAGACTGTTCCAGGTTTTAGCTGCATGAATCTGAAACGCCGACTCCCCATGTTTAGTCCTGACTCTGGGCACCAGCAAGAGGCCCTGAGCTCCTCAGAGTGTGAGATGGTTCATGTGGCACTAACATGCCACAGATACTTTGTTGCTCGGCCATGGAGAGACTTGTACACAAGCAGAGCTGTTTTAAAGTCTATTCTCTGAGCCACAGGAGCCAGTGCAGAGACCTGAGCACCTTAATCACTGTAATGTTGTCATTTCACAATGTATTATTTACGTATTATCTAAGGATTATTTAATGGTTTCACTTGTGTCCTTCTTAAAGGTGCACTGTTTTACAACAGTATGGCAATGAACTAATGTATTTCCATGGAAACATCACCAGGCCAAATTACAGGTCAGACCTGTGAACTGGCACCTGAGTAACAGTAAGAATGCATGTTGTCAAGTATAATTTTTTTAATTAAAAGACTATACTGCGAACATTCTAAGCAAATCTTTTTGGAGACACGAAAACCATAAAAGTTATACAGTGCATTTTAAATAAATAAATAAATAAAGCACCAACAGGCCCCACTCACCCTCTTCTGCAGAGTACACCACAGCAATCTGACTGAAAGGGCCCTCCCCTCGCCGGTTATAGGCCTTGATCTTTACGTCAAATGGGCTGTATGGCTCCTGGCTGCTGTTGACGTACACATACCGGGACGACTCCACATGAGGAACACGCACAGACTCCCACGATGAGGAGGGGTCTTTTTTCTTTATAGCCAAGATATACCCAAAACCATCACCATTTTGATATTCTCTGGCCATGCGCTGTAAAGCAAAATAAAGAGAGACAGGTCGCTCAGATGACTTGGCAGTCTCAACATTGATTCATTTGTATCAGGGAATAGCAGACTTCGTAACAGATTTCTTTTGACTTATTGATCACTTTTGGATCACTGCTACCTTTGAAAGCCTCTACAGTCTCTCTGAAATGGATTCCATTAGGATAAGTGCTGGGGGTGCTCTACATGCACACATTTTCAAGAGCCTGTGATCAATACAAGCATTTATGGTTCTGTTTGATTTTCAACAAAAATGGCAGAAGTGACTAACTGAAAAACTGTGGGATAATGCTAACTATATTGTCACTGTAATGCTATTTGAGAGAGGCTTATTTAACTGCACAAATCTCACTGCAGCTCATCTGTTGTAGTTCCAGCTAAGTCAGTTCTTTATGTGTTGAAATAAAGTCTTAGACAAAGCAGAGCCTACAGTTAGCATCACACCCCCAGGGAATGTTGATGGCATCAGCTGCAAAGTATCAATAGACAGTGGAGGATCTTTTTTGGCATTTTGTAGTAAGGTACATTTTCCTGTCCTGATACCGTACATAGCATGGATATAGACAAATCTAAATCATGCCCTCTTATTTTATCAGGAAGTGCAATGTAATAACTCACCGTCCAGGTAATAATGAGCTCGCCGCAATCTCCACCTCCTCCTCCAAGACCACTGGGTGCAACTGTGGGGGCTGAGAGTCCATGCATGCATATATGAGAGATTAGAATTTAAAAATGTGCTTTTATAACATAAAAAACACAGCACTTTATAACTAGTGAACTGCACAAAAAAGAGTAGTAGAAGTACAATGGCACAGGGCATGACACTACTTTTAGCACATTAAATTCACTGCGTAACATTTTTCGTGGTGAGTTTGCTACCTGCTTATCTCCATGAAAATATTATTGTCTACAGTAGAATGTTGCATCTTGTTTATTTCACGTGGTATATGTAATGATTGTCCATTTTTTGTTTATGTGGTTGTTTTTAATGGCTCACAGTGAACTTTGAGCATTTTGCACATGTTTTTCCAGTGTGTTTTTTTTAACTGCAAATGGCAAATAAACTAACCTAACTAACCTAACCTAGATTTAATGAAGAGTATGTTAGAGTGTACTGACCTGCCTGCAAGGTGCGGATGGTTTTGGAGGGCATACTGGGCTCTCCACTACCCAGAATGTTGCTGGCAATGACCTGGAATTGATAGTCCATCCATGGTATTAATCCAATGACCTGGGCAAACTCTGCATTCCCCTCAATGTTTGCAGGTTCTGAAAAGGTACAAGTGAAGCTATTTAAGTGAGTCTAAATAAGGGAGATGGGCACAAAATAGATCTCAAACCTGTTCTCATCTTCTTCCATTCAGAGGTCAGTGAGGAGCGACCCATGATCACATATTTGCCAATGGGACTGTGGTTGTCATAGCCTCTACTCCATCTCAGCTCAACAGATGTTTCTGCCACATTTCGAACCAGCAACCCCCCAGGAGGTCCAGGTGGGCCTGTATTCAACACAGAAATAATATACTTATAATAACTATACTGGTATACTAACTGACTAATGTACAAACTACCAATACACAAGTTGATTGATGGTACTGGAATAACAAGGACCCTGTGTGTTTCTGTGTGCAGTCTATGTCAGTCGTAATCATATCATACTACAGCAGGAGGTGCTAGTGGCTTGACTCTGAATATTTATTGGTGAAGAAGTGATGACTAAATACTTCTGAAAGAAAAAAAGCTAATTGTATGTCTTATCATTGCTTTCTTTTAATGTGAAAGCACAAATTGTAATTCCTCATATTATACATGGCCATATAGAAAAATTAAACAAGCGAAATATGGGGTCTGTAATCTTTCAAAATACTATATGGAGATAATAATATAAAGCATATTACCTCGCACCACTAGTTTAGCTGATGATGATGCGCTGTCCACCACTGTCTGCGCCGTGCATGTGTACACCCCCGCCTGATTAAGCTGAGTGTTAACTATCAACAAATCTCCAATGTTCTCTTTCTGTGGGAAAATTAGATCATTTGGTATTACAATAGTTGTAAGGTCTAACAATATTTCACAACATGGTTAATTATTATATTCACCTCCTCCATGCGGAAGTACGGCCCAGAGGGATGTTCCAGATCCAGGGGGGCTCCGTTGAGCGCCCATGTAAAGGTCAGGTCCATTGTGGGGTCGTGGGAAGCATGGCACTGCATGGTGACATTCTCACCTTGGTTTATGTCAGCATTGGACGGAGCCAGGGTGATCTTTGTGGCATCTACAGATTGAAGAAAGAGAAATGTGCCCTTAATTCTCTGAGCATTTTCTGTAGTTGGCAGTGTTTTTCAGTTCACACCATTTTCACAAACCACATTTTTACGAGAAACAACCAAGCCTCAATATGAAATTAAATTTGAGCAGGGGTTATACCTCTGACAGAGAGGTGACCAGTGCTGTTGGCTTTGCCAAGGTAGTTTTCAGCAAAGCATGTGTATTTCCCTTCATCTGCTCTGCTGATATTATAAATCCGTAAAACACCATCAGGAGTTACTGTGACTCTGAAGAGAGAGAAAAAAAGAAAAATACATAGATGTACATGACACCAGTAGGGCCAGTGCATAACATCACATGGTCTGATTAGGTTAAGGTTAATTAGCGGTTTTACCTGGTGCTGTTGATAAGCAGCTCAGTCCCTCGGCTCCAGAAGAGACTGGGTTTTGGTGCAGCACGAGGCCGACACTCAATCATCACCTCTCCCCCGCGAGCCGCTGGGATCAGCTTTTTCACTGGATTTGACCTGAAGTCTGGAACCTGGACTGGAGATTAAAGATGCACACAGATTTTTGTTTAAGGGGAGGATTAGTTGTGTATCAAATTGCCAAAGATCCTATGCACTACTATACAAACTGTGTGTGTCCTTCATACTGAGTTGTTACTACGTACATACAAAAAGATCGCTGTGATGCTGTGGCCAAACTCAAACTGACTCGTACCTTGAACCCTGAGCTCGGCGGTGGAGTAAATGGTGCCGTGCTTGTTCTCAGCGACACACTGGTACATCCCAGAGTCTTCAAGAGCCAGGTTACTGATTTTGAGTTGAGGTCCATTTACTTCCACTCGATCCTGTGTCATCATATCATGTATAACATTTGTCAATTTTTCAAAAAGATGATGTGATCCCAAAAAAGAATAGATATGCTGTGATTAGAAAAAGGAAGCCTCAGATCAACTTTCAGCATCTGCAATTCAGACGTTGACTAGGATTAGCATTTTTGTGAGTGCTACACCACTGATGATAAGGACCACATTTTCTGTAGTCATCTGGCCATGCACTCAAAGTTGTTAACACTTTTTCACACTACCCTCTATGGATTAATAACTGTCATGTTACTGTGTTACCTGTGTTATTAGAGGCTGTCCATTGCGGAGCCAGTGAACAGCAGGCCGTGGTTTCCCTGTAGCAGCACAACTCCAGTGCAGCTCTGAACTGATCTCTACCTCAGAGTCACTCATCACCTGCATCCACTGAGGCTGAGCTGCAAACAGGTCAAAACTTTTATTTACTCAAAAAAAGAAAACATTACACAAAGAAAGGATATGTGACAAGTCTGTACCAACAGCTTAAAGAGCCAATATTATGCTATTTTCTGAACTATCTTATAATGTTGTTTCCTCATCAAAAATATACCCAGATGTTTATTGTTTTGTTCACCTTGTGATGCCATGTGATAATACAGGAAGTGCTCCACTGTGTTTTTAAACTCCATACACCTTCACTAGAATAATTTGGATAATCAGCTCTGGAAATCCCCATCTCTTCTGAACTAAAGGTAAAAGGTACATGTTAACTTGACAAGGTGGAACAGAGAATTTTGAGCTTTGGAGATGTAGACAGACTAATAATAAAGGGTTATGCAAATTCAGATATGTTTTTGATGGGGTAACAACATTATAACATAGCTTAAAGCTCACAAGAGTCAACTCTGCGTCCTATTGAACCTTTAATAAAAGTAATATAAAGATTAAATAGCAACTGTGTATTCACCTTGTACGTTGATTCTCCCCTGATATTTGTCACTTCCTTCAGAGTTGTAGGCCTCACATTCGTAGAGCCCTTCATCATCAAAGGACAGATCTGGGAGTTCGAGTGAGGGGCCATCCCCACTGGAGCCTGCTTTAGATGGTAAGAGGCTATCCACCTTTCTCCATCTGATCTTTGGCACCGGACTAAAAAAAATAAACATCAAAGCATTGGACCAACTACTCAAAAACAGAGAATAGGAACAAATATAGTTTCAATGTTTAAGCAAAAACAAAACTTACTTTCCATAAGCAAAACACTCCAGATGAGCTGTGTGTCCAGCCAAAGCGTAAGTATCAGCTGGAAACCGTACTATGATACTTGGCGCTGACTTCCGAGCATTAGCTTACAAAAAAAAAAAAAAAAAACATTAAAAATTCAAATACTTAACTGATATAGCTAATAAACACCACTTTTAACTTTGCAAATAATAAATAACATCTGCATGTTTTAATCAGTGTGACTCAATTCAATACAACTTGTAATGTTTCTATGTAAAATAAGTGTTAAAGGGCCCACATTATGCTATTTTTTCATCTGTTAACTTGAAAACTACCACTTCATGGCATCACAAGGTGGAACAGAGCCTTTTGAGCTTTGGGAGTTTAGGCAGAATAATAACACAGGATTACTCAAACATGTGTGAATGAAACAAAACACAACTCCAGGTATGTTTTTCTAACATCGAGTAAAGCTCACAAGTTAATTTTGCATAATATGGGCCATGTAATATGTATGTCATATAGTATAAATTTACCATCTGCCACCACAGTGAGTTGATTTGCTTTGCTGAATGTGCTTTTTGTGCTGGCGTCCATGTTAACGGTGGTGAAACAAAAGTAGTTCCCAGTATCATTAGGTTCTGCTTTGGCCACATATAAGTTCCCTGTGACTTGAGACACAAACCAGCGTGGATCGTCCTTCTTGATAAAATTTGGAAAATCATTGATGAACCACCGATAGGATAGAGCTATAGAAGAAAAGAATACAGGTGGCCAAAGTGAGAAATTTGAATTATGGTTGTACTGTAATAAATATAATCCAAGCTAATTTCTACCTGGGTAATGGGGAGGAGGCTGGCAGGCCATAAACAGTCCCACTCCTTCATATGCAGTCTGTGGGTTTCTGCTGTCCGGGGAGAAGTCATGAAGGTCTGTTTACAAGCACATAAATGAGATAAAATGAGATTCATTAATAACACATTTTCAGGCATATATGTGTAAAATGGCATGCGTACAAGGGCCAAAATAGTGTAATCATAGAATGTATAATGAAGTGGACTTAGGGAGCATGACGTCACCCAAAAAGTTTAGCTTCAGTCAAATTATGCTCACGGTGCTATCAGTTATAGAAGCAAATTTGGAGCCAGTTCCATATTAGGAAGAGGAATTCATTTACAGACAAAATAGTGAAATGAAAACCCCAGGATCATGTAGAGCGAGTTAATATGAACATTTCAAGACCAAAATGACTAGGCTCACTGCACCAGTTACAGAGATCGGTGAGCATTTTTCAATGGAAAGTCAATTTGAGCCAGACTCGATGGAGCCAGAAGCGCGTCTGTGCTCACTTCCTATTTGGAACATGGCGGCTAGCGGGTTAGCTATGTCCATTTATATATACAGTCTATGAGTGTAACTTGTTTTTTGTAACTTACAGCCAAATTTGAGGTTGGCAGCCTGACTGATGATCGTGCCACAGCGGTTGATGGCAAGACACTGGTATGAGCCCGTGTCCTGGCCTGGTTCAGGACTACTGATCACTAGACTTCCAGCCACTAGAGTGTAACGAGTGTCCAGACCCAGCGGTACCTCAGTGCCATTCACCAACCATCTATAATGACAGTGATGGGAAGAAAACTTTGAAAATGTATTTAGTTACAAAATACTAAATACCCAAATTAGAATGTATTTTGTATTATGCTACATGGTCCAATCAGAGTACTGTATTCTGAATACTTGGAATACTTTTTCAGAGTTGCATTATATATATGATATATTATAATGTAAAAAAACATTTCATAATATTACTAACAACATTATCTTTGTTAGTATAGATAAAGAGATAGAGAAGTATATATCTATGTATGATTAATTATAGATGAAAAAGAGAAAATGACCTAAAAAGAGCTGAATTTTCTATATTTCTCACTAATACTGTGCAGTTTAAAGTCAGAATTAGATGATGAAGTGCCGTCATTCCTTTGATTTTAGAAAAGTAACTGCATTCTGAATACCACCAAAATGAAAATGTAACTGTACCAGAATACAGGTATTTACAGTAAGTATTCAGATTTTTCAGTACATGAATTCAGTCACTTCCCAACACTGTTTATAAACCACACAATAGATAAGACAGTTTGACCAGTTTCTGTATCAAAGCTGTATGTATCAGACCTGTAGGATGCCGCAGGGCTGGCCCGTGCTCTGCAGCTCAGGGTCACTTTCCCCTCTGAAAGCCCCTCGGGGTAAATGACGCTGCTCGGCTGCTCCTCGAACACAGGTCCACTGTCATGTCCCAACACACACACGTCTCCTCCTGAATCACAATCAGATCAAACTGAGTACATACACTACCAAAGGTTTAGACATTCAATATTTTGTTTTATTCTTACCACTTTCTACATTTTAGAAACATAAAGAAGATATCACATATATGAACCAAGATATATGGAATAATTTTGTGAAGGAAAAGGGTTAAAAAGCTCTATTAATATGTTTCGACAAAGCAAAGGGTGGTTAATTTAAGAAGTTGGTTATAAAATATTCAAAAATGTTTTAGTAGAGTTAGTTAGTTTTTTTTTTCCTTTCTATGGAGTAAGAAAGCTTTCAAAAATATTCGTGTGCATAGAATAGAAATCCGTGCATATTTGGGAAATCCGAGCATATTTGGTTGTAGTTGCACATAAAATAAATATTTGTAAACTCAAATAAGTCCAGTCGTACATAAAATAGATTGTGTGTATTTTATCCATCAGAATACGAATTGAAAAGTTACGACGTCAAGAATTACAATTACGAAATGAAAATTTACGATTACACTTTCATCAGTACGAATACGAGTTCACAGACGGAACTTTACTGTCAAAAATACCTCATCACTTCACAGACATTATTTATCGAGCAGAAGAAACATCAATCAAGATCAAGACTGCGCATGCTCAAGTTTGTAGCAGAGGGTAAAAACTGAGTCATGGCACAACAAGGAGCTACAACAGTGACCAACAAGTGGTTTAATTAAAATGTATTGTAAAAATGTCTTGTCTTGCCACATTGAATTCGGGAACCAAACGCTGCTGTGTAATATTGTGTAGAAACACCTTCTCTGAATGGGAAATTGCACCTATATCTTAGTAGATAACATAGTGGTAGCCAGTTGGTTAACATCATACGTAACGTTATCCCAGGGCTAATTAGAAAATACCGGCGTTTTCTGCATGTTTAGATTAAAACATTCACGGCTACAGCCACAGCGAGCAGTCAGTCAGTCTTAATCTTCATCTCAGCTGCATTTCTCGCATGAAATGCCACCAAAAGTTCCTCGGGACCCTGAAATGTCCCAGTTTACACCAAACACTACCAAACTGTCCTGGTTACAGACGTCACAGCCAATGAAATGTTACACATTACAGTTTAATGCAGCTTCAGCATCAATTAATGTTCTTGTTTACAGGCAACACCTTGGTATGTATACAGTATTTACCGATAAATATAACGTCACCGTGTCGTGGCGTGGATGGATTTGCTAGTTCATTATAACTCATATATAACCCATTGTCTGTAACCAAGGACAGTTTGGTAGTGTTTGGTGTAAACTGGGACATTTCAGTGTCCCGAGGAACTCCTTGTTGTGCCATCACTCTGTTTTTACCCTCTGCTACAAACTTAAACATGCGCAGTCTTGGTCTTGATCAATGTTTCTTCTGCTCGATAAATAATGCCTGTGAAGTCATGACGTATTTTTGTCCCGGCTGTGAATTTGTATTCGTACTGATGTAAGCGTAATCGTAAATTTTCATTTCGTAATTGTAATTCTTGACATCGTAACATTTCAGTTTGTATTCTGATGGATAAAATACACACAATCTATTTTATGTACGACTGGACTCATTTGAGAGTTTACAAATATTTATTTTATGCGCAACTACAGCCAAATACGCACGGATTTCTATTCTATGCGCACGAATATTTTTGAAAGCTTTCTTACTCTTTACCTTTCCAACATAATTCCATACATTTTACTTCATATATTTCATATCTTCTGTATGTATATCAAAAGTAGAAAGTAGTAAACACAAACTTTTGACTGGTAGTGTACATGATGAGACAAACAGCTGAGTTTAAACCAAACTTGACATACCTTGTACTCCTCCTGTGAAAGTGAAAAGACTCAGGACAAAAACAAGGTGCATTTCAGCACGACCCGAAAAGAACTCCATCAGAACATCAAGGGGTTCACCAGGACTTCAACTCAGAGAGATCCCACCATTCACAAGGAGGCTAGACAAGAAGAAACTCTATTATTTGCTTGAAGATTGTAATTTTATTTTTCTGACTCTCAGTAGTAGGTTTCCTGGTTTGCCCGTGTCCCCATTAAAACAATAAATACAAAGAACTTTTTCTAAATTATATTTGAGATTATAAGATAAAATGATAGCCTAATCTTTAAGTCATGTTATAATGTCGTTTCCTCTCCTAAAACATACCTGGAGTTGTATTTTCACGCATTCACATGTTTTGGTAATATTTTTTTTTATCAGTCCATCTACATCTTTAAAGCTCACAGTGCTCTGTTCCAACTTGTGATGTCATGTAGTGGTAGTGTTCAAGTTAATAGCTAGCCTACTTTTTACCTTTAGTTCAGTGATTGCTGACTCTCAATAGTAGGTTTCCTGTTTGTACAAGTTCTCATTAAAACAATGAGAGTGTGGGAGTAGGCAGTAGGCAGTACTTGGTCAGTAATTGGTCAATTTGTCATATATATGTGTTCTTACACTGCCCCTAGTGCCACGACAAAAACAAAGAACTTCTACTAAATGATATTTGAGATTATGAGATGAAATGGTCTCAAAACAATGCATGATTGGTCACTGTCAGAATCTGAATCAGTGCAGTCTATTATCATAACACAGGCCAATTATAGCCCCAAAGAGTTTCCATTAGAATATCTCAATTACATCCAATATGGTTTTGCCAAATGCGCTGTATTGCGTCAAACCATAATGCCTGGGTCCATGTCTTTTATATCTTAAATTCTGCCCTTGATTCTCCTTGAGTTTCTAAGATGCATTTTAAATCAGTGAGTGCAGCTCGTGTATGATGATGAAGGATGCTGATGCTGTTTACCCGAACGATGCGCTGTCTCTTTTCGCTCAGTGATGGCGGCTGGTCCGGCGGGGTCCTGCGAGGGGTTTGGTTCCGAGAGGTGCTGTTTAATTGTGATGCGGGTTATGTTTTCATCAGTTTAACATTTAGTCCTTCGCTCATGGACCAGCCTATCCTGCACCCTTCTTTTCGTCTCATCCAAACCAAAGACGTAAAGACCGTCTCAATCACGTCAACTACTTCCGGTGGGGTTTTCAATGCGCAGCAACACTGCATCAGCATAAAACGCATTCTCACTGGGAGGCTATATTGAGCAAATAAAGCTCTAGATTAAACCTATTTAGTAAAATCACATGCATCGCATGTAAAACAGGATTAGATTTAGGCTATAAGTACAAGTTTGTGGGGCAAAATTTTGTAGACTACCTTTTGATTGATGTAGTCTAGACTTAGACATAGCCTGTGTTTCACTGGAAGAATAGCTTCCGGAGTGTTTCTTGCCCTTCTGTTCACCCCATTGTTTACCCCCAGCCCCAACCCCCCCTCTGCAAACCTTCCTTTGTTGTGAGGCAGAGGCCTATTTACATAGACCCAAAAAAGCACACCCAGAGGACTGCCCAAGACGCATCCCTTTTATATTACATTTGAGCAATTTTATTTCTCTAACTCTAATATCCATTGGCGTAAAGGTAATTGTCCCACAGATCTTTGATTAATAGTCTACGGTCCTACTGATAAAGCCTAGCCAAAAACATAACCTTGAAGAGATAGGCTTTGGCCAGGCAAGTCATTATATTTGGCCAAAATATTTTATTCCCAGAGGTGACCGTTTCTCTGGATACAGTGGGTTGTAACATGGTATTCCTGTTCAGTTGTTGTATTGTAAAATGTAGGCCTATATGTTACATTAATTTAAACTTCAGCCTATTTAGAAATAGCCTACATTGTCTGGCGGTGTCCTAAATAAGGCTCAAAATTTTAAAACGATAACACAATTAAGAAGCGTATTGAAGTTGGCTAAGAAGCGTATTGAAGTTGGCTCAACGTTACGCTCAATTAAGATAGCACCCCCTGTCACTTTGCGCCTGAAGTCCACAGCAGTAATTGGTCTTTGATGACCACTGGAGAACCTGGAGCCATGGGGCAAACGCGGATGCGCGCTGCCTGACTCCAGGTTGCGGCCGCCACGTGTCAGTACTCATTATTGCTCTCAAAAGGGGAAGAGGACCGGGGCGCCATCCCACCACAATCACGCAGTGATGTGTTGAGCTGTTGTCAAGGGGATGAAAGCACATGTGACCGCTGGATACACACAAGTCCCAGTGGATAAAGGACAGCAGTGGGGGACATGGAGGCCAGACGAAACAGGACTATGGGGTTTGGAATTGGGAAATCTGTGCGCAAATGTGACATATTTTTATTACGCGTAGGCTTTGGATTATACCAGTATTAAACTGAGCGTGGATGGGTCAGTGGGCCTCACCGGGACTATGAAGTTGGACATTTACGCGCAACTTTTCTTACTCGTGTGTTTATGCATTTTTCACAGCTCGGCCATTGATACAGGTAAGGATGGACATGAATGCACAGAGCCTACTGTCAGCAACTGATCAAAAGTTGAAGTACAGTTGCAGAGAATTGTCTAATTTGGTAGAGTTGCCAGAATAATTTAATTAATTAATGATACTTTAATAACAATATACACATGTAAGAAGTATAGGTAAAATGTTTTCATTTTATTAGGCCATATAGACCCTACAGCCTACTAATTTAACAGACAAAAAAAAAAATTAAATAAATGGTCACATCCTGATATAGCCAAAGAAAAGGCCACCCATAGACCCTATAGGCTAAGAATAGAAAAGACAACATGGTTAATTGCAAAGAATATAAACTTTCAAGTCTGTTTATGAATCAGTCCAAAACTTTTGTGAGTTATAGACTTACCCAGGAGAAAGAAGCAAATCATTTTACTTGAGTATATTTCATTCACTTCTACAACATAAGTAAAACTACTTTAAGAATTAAAACATGTAATTTATTTATTTGTATATATTGAAGAAATAGTTCCATTTACACCAGGACTAAATGTAAGTAATAACAACATAGACTTTTGAATTTAACATAACATATTGTTGATGTGGCTGAGCACCCCTTAAGCCTTTGTATTTACTTATGCCACACAGAGGACAGGCTCTTTCCCAGCAATGGGGCTCTGGACTCAGGGACATTCCTGGGGGTCACACAAGAGGAGCTGGGTGCTCCCATAGCAACAAAGCTCATAAACTACAGGGGTGGTCGTAAATTTGCCCCTGACCTGGTTCGTGGCCCAAAGCCACTTTGAACAATTATTTTACACAACATTTACTTTAGAGTATGAGCTCATGTTTGGGATGGGCCTAAAAAAAATAGGCCTAAAATCCATTTTCTTGAAAGATGTGTTAAAGGAAGCAAGATAATATATTTTCAAAACAAAAGGTTTCAGCAATTATATACAATATGTTTTTTGTCATTTACTTTTTTTTTTTTTTTTACATCTTTTTAATCATATATTATTTTCTTTTTCCAGTCAATGTTGTTGACTTTTGTGGTCAGACAATCCGTGCAGATGGAATGATTGTTAACTCACATCAACAGTCCAAGAAATACTACTTTGTGACAATGGGAACAGATTGCCACATTACCATGCAAGCCAGTTCACCAAAAGACAACATTCAGTTTTACTTCCGCTTCTTCCTGGTGTATAGCCTGCTGCGAGTAGCCCCTCTGAGTCCAGGACCAACAGTGCCAGAGCCTCCTTCAAACATCAGCTTGGAGCCACTGTCTGCAGAGAGCCCAGCTGACCGCTGCCATGCTGGGTCATACATTCAGTTCTACGATGGGACAGACAAGAGTGCACCTCCCCTGGGACCCCCCCTCTGTGGGAAGAGTCCCCCACGACCAGTGCTGTCCACGGGGAACTACCTGACCCTGAGGCTGGTGACACGGGGCTCTCAGCCCAGAGTGGACTTTGTGGGGGACTTCACCTCTTTCAGATTAGGTAAGAGAACTCAAACTAGAAGGTTTATTTACTAAATCTAACCTTAAATGAGAGAGATTTGGCTGCAGAGCACCACCAGGAGGACCCTTAAGTGAGTTACCTCCATCCATAAGTCCCTAAAAGTAAACAAACTGAGTTTCAATGTAACTTTACAAAATGTGACAAAATGTGCCCAAACCTTAACAATTACAGATTTGTGTCTAATCTTAACCAGACACAGAACCCAGGGCAACACTACATTCAGGGAAACCCTTGTATATGTAGGCTCATGTTGAAATATATATATATATATATTTTTTTTTTTTTTTGTATCATTAAACTTCTAATTAATCTACACAGAGTCAAGCAGAAACAACACAAAGCTAGTTAATTTCAAACTAGAAATTAAATCTGATTGGTGTGATTAAATAATGAGTAAAATGAAAAAACTTTTTTGAGTCAAAACTCCCTTTTTCTACTCTTACACACAGAGAGAGTCAGTACAACCTTAGAAGAACAGACATATTTTTAAAATGAAGACTAGAACAAATAAAAAAGCTATTGTATTTCTGGTAGAGGGGGGAGTATATGGAACGACGATTAAAAAGCTCCAATACAGTACAAGCCTAGATCAGTGCATTCAGTTTGTTTTTTCTGTAATGTGTAGTAAGTTGTGGAATAGTAAATGCATACTTGCTGTTGATATGCTTGCTTTTCTTGAAATTTTGTTATAGTTAAATAATTTTTACTTCAGCTTTAACAATCTGTGTATATACTTGTAGTGCTGCAAATTAATACTACTACTACATCACTGAAACAATTTGAAATGAGACTTTATCAGCTTTAATAAACAATGAACTAAGAAAACAACTGGAAGTGTAATGAAGTAATTTATGAAGTAAACTAATGAGAAAACTGTGTGGGACATGTGGGTCTTGGTGCATCCTGGTAGAGGTCTGCGGGTATGGTTCTCTGGGTGTGACTCCCTACTTAAAGATCCTATATAATGCAAAATTGACCCTTAAGCCATGTTAAAATGTTACATCATGAAAAACATATCAGGAGTCCTTTATTATTAGTCTGTCCCCAAAGCTCAAAATGCTCTGTTCCACCTTATGTCATGAAGTAGTAGTGTTCAAGTTAACAGCTCCGTTTGATCTTGAGATGAGTAAAGATTTCAATTCCAGGGTTGAAATTATCTAAATGATTGTAGTGCAGTTGTATGGAGTTTAAAAACACAATGCAACACTTCCTGTATTACCATATGATATCACAATGTAGAACAGAGTGTTTCTGTTTGAGAGAACAGAGTATAAATAAACCAAATGTGTGTGTTAAACATGTGTGAATGAAAGAAAACACAACTCCAGGTTTGTTTGTGACGAGGAAACAACGTTATAACATAAATCAGAAAATAGCCCTTTAAGTAATATTTATTGCATCGGCATTATTAGAGTTGAAACACAGTATTCACACTTTTTGTCTGCAGGCTTTAACCAATCAAAGTGCAACGGTGAGCCATACTTCAGCTGCAGAAATGGGAAGTGCATCCCTCTCAGTTTGGTGTGTGATGACAAAGGCATTGATAACTGTGGAGATGGTAGTGACCTGGAAGAGAACCTGAAGAATGAGTGCAAAGGTCAGTGTCCACTTGAACAAAGAGTGATCTTTGTAAGATTTGAAGTCCTTCACACAAGAGAGAAATAGATAAAAGGTTGTTGTATTTTTCAGATGGACAGCGTCTCTTTTCAAACCCTCTGGCAACAACAGCTTCTCCTCTTGCATTATTAAACCCCTCGACAACATCCCAAGTGCAACAGAGCTGTGCCATGCCAGACAGCCAGGGGTCAATATCTGGTAAGTGACCGCTGATAAAAAGCTTTGATTGATTAGTATTATTCTTACTGTTATGAACTCTCAAGCCCAAAATACATGAGGGGATACACTTTTAATTTTATACCAAACAATACATGAGTAAATATAAGCTACTAAAGCAAAAAAGATAGTAGAGGCAAAAAAAAAAAAAAAAAACTAAAAAAAAAAACGTAATGTACTATCCTTGTCCCTGTAGAATATTCATATATCCGGTGCATGAAAACCTGAAGTTTTATTTTCAGGGCTTGGTCCCAAATGGACCTCTGTCTCTTTGTACATCATAACAGGTCCAGCTCAGCAATGGTTCAAACACAGCAAACACAACATAGATAACTATACAGACTGAAATGTCAAGTCTCTACACATATCCATCAACAGCACATGTGCTATGAGGAAATAAACTTTTCGGTTGGGGGTCTGTCACCTTCTTGTTTCTATGGAAATGTCATTGCTCTGCTTGAAATGTTCCACAGTACGGCATTAAACATATCTACCTTGCATTGCATTACAGGTGGTTTTATTGCTCAAAAACAGGCACTCTGAATGTGAGCGGGGTTGCCACTCCACAGATCTGACATCAGTGGGGCGCCAGTCGCAAAAACTGTTGTTGTCTCCTTGATGATAGAAAGATTTAATGCCATACTGTGAAACATTCCAGACAAAGCAATTGCATCTCCATGGACAAAAGCAGGTGGCAGACACTCACTCACCAGAAAAGTTATACAATCCACCTTTAATGTTTCCAGTCTTAGTAATATCAAAGTCATATATTCTCTCACCTCTATGTTCTCCACAGCCCCTGGATCCTGGTCCTTGCTGCTGTGCGTTGTGCTTGGTCTTGTGGGAGGCAGTGTGGTGTTCTGCTGGTGCTGCTGGAGCCCTGGGTGGTTCTTGTGGCGTGTCAGTATCTGTCGCTTTTGGCCTTGCTGTAACTCGCCATGTTCGGCCTGTCAGCTCTATGGTGGAAGTGCTCACTGTAAGGAACACCGCATGGCCAAAGTGAGCCCCCACCCACAGGCCAAAGGACCCCCGACCACTGCTGTTAACCAGGGCGATGAGGGTGGGGCCCCTGCTGCTGCTGCTGCTATTGTGTAGGACCCAGACAAGACCGTGGACGATATGTACATGATGGATACAGTACTACTACCACCTTTGCTGTGGTTTGTTAAAGGGCCCATATTACCCTATTTTCTGATGTATGTTGTTTTCTCATCACAAATATACTTTCTCTCAAACAGGAAACACTCTTCCACCGTGTGATGATGTCATGTGGTAATACAGGAAGTGCTCCATTGTGTTTTTAAGCACATTTTGGATTTGCCCTAGAATTGCCAGTCTCTACTGAAAAAAAGGTAAAAAGTAGCTAACTTAACTTGAAAAATACCACTTCATGACATCACAAGGTGGAACAGAGCATTTTCATCTTTGGGGATGTATAGACAGACTAATAATAAGGAATTACTCAAACATGTGTGAATGAAACAAAACTCCAGGTATGTTTTTGATGAGGAAACAGCATTATAACAGTAGATTAAAGCTCACGTGAGTACATTTTGTGTAATATAGGACCTTTAATTTAACAGTGGATATTCAACCAGTTTTATGAATATCTATAGGTTCCCTCTTATTAAAACATAGATGTCAGGGTACTTTGTTTATATTTTATTTCTTGCCAGATATACAGTATTTAAACAAAAGTGGTAACAATTTATCACCAGTACACTTTAATTAGCCTTAATAAAGCATGGACAAATACTTTATTCATAATGAACAAATAGTTTATTGAAAACAAGTAACAGTAACAACTTCAATAATGACTACGCTGACCCTTCACCCCTCAGTTAACTAATTAATAAGCCTAAGTCATTCTTAATTAACTATTTACTCATTATGAATTAAGTGTTTCTTCATGCTTTATTAAGGCAATTTTAGTTCAAAATTTGTAGATTATTAGTTCAAAATTTGGATTTTAAATAGTGCTCACCTTCACTTTCAAGTTGCTGGCAGTGCACAAAAACTGCATGGGTTTGTGGTTGCCAGGTCTCTGTGAGCTATGTGGAGTGTAGACTGAGCCTCTTCCTGTCAGTCCATTCCTTACATGTGTATGCGTCACTGCTGAAAAGGTCACTCCTCCTCAGTGTCTGTGCCAACATTCGACTCATGGGACTGTACATTTGCAGGCAGTGATTTCTTTTGTCTTCATTATCTGAATATCTGTAATGTGTCCATAGGATTCATGATTGGTCACTTTGTGTTTTGTTTTGGCTTACTTGGCATCTTTCCATGACATCCTTTTATTTTAGACAAATACACTATAAAAACAAGCAAGGACAGAAGACCCCCTATTGAAGATCAGCCAAGTTTCAAGTATTTGATTTTGTAAATATTTTCATAATATTTGTAGATAAAAAGCATTTTGTACCAAATGTGTATTGCAACACAATCAGATGTGGTATAAAGGAGGTGTTGGGAAAGATACCCAAAATTGTGACCTCGGGAAAGGACTGTATTTTACACTGGTTACATATCTTCAACCTCTCCAGGTTATCTGGCCAGGACAATGAACAGGATGCCAGTGCACACTTTACCACTCTTTTTTTTTTTATTTTTTTATTTTTAATTGAAGATGAAAGTTAAAGATGGTATGAGACAGTGATGGGATGACAGGTTCATGGTGCTATGGAGACAGAAACAAATACTGAGCAATAACTAAAAACATAACAACAACAATGGTGAGGCTAATAATATAATAAGTATTTAAATAAAGAACGTACAAATATATAAGGAAAAGTGCAAAGAAATACTTGAAGCCTATTGATAACTATTTACAATGATAAAACGTAACACCAGTGGTGAAGATCTGATGGCATTTTCTCTCCTAATACTTAAAATTACTATGGTCCTTGAACGCACCACAGGCAACAACAAAACCACAGGGAAAATGGACATGTCTGCTGGTCTGTGAACGCATCATCAGCGCAGGTACGCAACCAAGGTATGGCCGACTGAAAACGGGAAAAGTGATAATTAATATGATAATGTATGAATAAGTAAGTAAGTGATGATGAAAGTTTGACTATTTTTATCGTACTTAATGAACAAGATGGATTCCAGACAGTTTGGGAATGAATAAACCGAAATGACATGAAATGAAAATGAAATATTTTACATTCTCATGGACGCATTAACATATTAATGATTAAAAAAAAGCATGAGAAGTCCAAAAATGATATCTGTACAATAACAGTGAAGAAAAGTTACGCATGCCCTCGTTAACATTAGTCGTTAGCGTCCTCTCATACTGCTTATGATAGAAACTGTCAACACCGACACCTAGCGGACATATGTAGTATAACTTTAATTAAGCAGTCTTATACTCGAGTTTGAAATTTATTTATTTACACTTTCTACGGAGCCCGCCCAACTAAAACTTTTATCAAAAATAGATTTAAGAAAAATATTGATTTGAATGTAGCTTTTGTAAAGAATGTCCTGAAACTATTGTGCATCTGTTCTGGAATTGTCAAACTGTAGTAATTTTTGGGCAGAAATTGTGTGACTATATTCATAATTACATTGATAAACACTTTATTTTGCATTGGAAGAATGTATTGTTTGGCTTGTTTGATTCTCATTTGCAAAAAAGTTCGATCTACCTAATTAATCTCTTATTTTTAATGTCAAAGTCTCATATCCACTCGTGTACATTTTCTGGTAAAAGGCCAACCTTTGTTGCTTTCTATAATAGTTTCACACAATACATTCTTTCAATAAAATTTTCTGAGAAACAGAAGGCAATCGAGACAGTAGAAATCTGTACAGCTTTGAATGTTTTCACTTGAACTTTGACCCCCCCTAGTGTGAAAGTATAGCGTTTCCCCCTTTCCTGTCCTCTTTTATTTCCCCCTCCTTTCTTTTTTATTACTTTACTTTTTATTTATTTTATTTGTACATTTTATACGATGCAATTCTTGAATGTAAAGCACAGTTCTTTGTACACTGCAGTATGTATACACTGCTTTTACTTTCAATAAACTAAAAAAAAAAAGATTCAGTAAAGCGGGGGGGAGAGAGCCACGACGATGGAGGGGGCCAAGATGGCGGCTTGAGCGGACGCTCCTTTTCAACCGGTTGCGCCAAACTTGCATATTTTTTGGGAAAAAACACTTTATTGCACGCCACACTTACTTCTTTATTGCTCATCAACTGCCGGAACACTCTCTGACGATCCAATTTTTTCTCGGGATAGAAAAAGAACCTCTAAAGATTTAAAAAACCTGGCTACTACTACTGTAATGGATGACACTACCAACTGCACCGCCACAACCAGCGCGGAACATGACTATATCAAAATACCAGACGACATGATCCTCGGAGAAGAAGAATTCCACCTCTGACTCTTTCAGTCGAAGGGATCCCTTGCAAAGAACCAGCTCCTAAAAAAGCGCTGCTTGCAACTCCTGGAGGTGACGGAAAGCGAGGCTATGGCGGTGACCAAGATGTGATTGGTATTCTATCAAATCTGATTAACACCCGTTTTGATGACTTGGAAAAACTGACCAATGCCAACACCGTCAGTACTGAGGGTCTTAAGAAGTCCGTTGACTTTGCCTTTGATCAAATTAAAGATGTAAAACAAAGAGTTGATATGATTGAAAGTAACACACGCAAAGATGGCGCAACTATCCTCCAGCTACAAGAACGACTTGTTGAATCTGAACGCTACTCCAGACGCTGGAATCTGAAACTTTACGGGGTACCAGAGACTGTGATTAAAGAAGAGGTAAAGAAAGAAACCATCCGAATCTGCCAGAGTGTTTTCCCTGAAGGTAAACAAAAGCTCCCAGACGTGATTGATATAGTACACCGTTTAGGGAAAATGAAGGAGAATGAGAACAAACAGAGAGGAATCATTCTACGGGTAGGTTCCAGAACCTACCGAGATGCAGTACGGAAAGCCGCGAAAAACAACTCTTTCCTGACGGAGCGCCAACTTTACTTTACGGAAGATCTGTGTCCAGCGGACCGCGAGAGAAGAGCAACGCTGTGGCCGGTGATCCAGGCGGCCAGACGAGAGGGGAAAATCGCCTACTACGTGGGTCCCCGCGCTTACATCAGCGGCAAAGAAGTCAGCCTACCCGGGAACTGATTTAAACAAATTGTATACAACATGCACTTTTGCAGAAGATTGACCATTTTTGTATTGTGGTCCTAGTTTTTTGTTCTATATTGTCACAATGAGCTTATATCCAATATGGCAGGCAGCAAAAAGTTCATTTTGAACATGTTTTATACTTGAAATCTAAGTTGGCATTAAACCAACTCATTTTATGTTTTAGTTTTTTCCATTTTATTAATTTATATTGGCGCATGGATTGAAGCAAAACAGCGCAAGCACTTATTTACTCAGGTTTTTGTTTTTTGTGTTCATGTCTTTATCTTTAGCTTCTTTGAATGCCAGGGGGTTAAAAAATGCCACAAAACGTAAGGCATTGTTTTTGTTTGCTAAAACATTAAATACAGACTTTTTCTTTTTTCAAGAATCCCATTCCACATCTCATGACACAAATTTTTGGAGATCTCATTGGGGTGATAATGTATTTCCTTCACATGGAACCCAGCATTCAACTGGTACTCTTACAGTAAAACACAAATTTGAAGGTGATATCCTTTCACACAAATGTGACAACCAGGGACACTTTGTATTCATGGTATTGGCCTATCAAAATAAAACTTTTATTGTTATTAATATTTATGGTTATAATTCAAAACGTGAAAACTATCAACTCCTATCCACTTTAGAAAATCATATAATTCATGTATTAAATCAGTTCCCTAATGCAATAATAATAATAGGAGGAGATTTTAATATGGTATTGATTAATGAATTAGATAGATGGCCACCACAGACCAATAGTAGTAATAATCCTTTAGTTCTGTTTATGCGACGATTTAGCCTTAAAGACTTCTGGACAGAGAAATTCCAAACAGCCAGTTTTTACATGGAGCAAGTAATAGTGGCTCAAAGCAGTCTCGACTCGACTACTGGTTGGTGTCTGATTGTCTAAACACAGAAGATGTTAATACTGATATCCTCCCTTCTCCCCTCACTGACCATAAAGCAATCCACATTACTATTACATTATCTGAAAGTAACTCCCAAAACAAGAAAGCCTACTGGATCCTAAACAACTCTTTACTTAGACTTGATATTGTGGAACATAAGATTTATGAAACTGTCTCTTACTATTTTAATAAAGCTAAAATTAAGAATTGTTACAACAAAAACTGGGAATTTTTAAAATATGAAATGGCGAAATACCTAAGAAAATTTTGTTCTGACTTAAATAAACACAAGAGGGCAGAAGAGGATACAATTATCTGTGACATTATGGCATTATCCACAATAAGTCCAGCAAATCTCTCAGAGGAAGATAAAATTAGTTTAGCCTCTTTGCAGAATAAATTAGATGACGTTTATAAACATCGAGCTGAAGGTTTCCTACGTAAGATCTCGATTAAAATGGTTAGAAGAGGATAAAAATAATTCTTCCTATTTCTTTCAATTAGAAAAGCTTTGTGCCAAATCAAACACGTTACAGCAATTAAACATTGATGGCCAAGTAACTTCAGACCCCCTCAAAATCGCTAAATTTGTTAGTTCATTTTACAGTAAGTTATATGCTCCCAATGAGATGTCTGGAGGACCTGATTTGTTTCCAAATAATATATGTATATGTATATATATATATATATATATATGTGTGTGTGTGTGTGTGTATATATATATATATATAATTTTTTTAAATATATATATAGAATATAGAATTATTATTTTGTTAATCTGTGTTGTTTTCTTTTTATTGTACAATAAAATGTTTTTTTTTTTTTTTTAATCATAGTAAGGTTTGGTTTTATACATCATGCTCAATTTTTCATAATGCTGTGTAGTTAAATAAGTTAGGGCTAATCTCAGTAAAATATGTACCATATTTACATATATAAAGCTTATTTCTTTGACCAATCGAAGACCATATATCAAACATCAAAGATACATAGACAAGAGTTAAGAAGTTAATCTGTGTATATTTTATTATTTTCCTCATGTAATTTGGTAATTAGTGTATGTAGTGTAGATGTTGTGATGAACCTGAAGCTTCAGTCAGCTGCCCAGTCCTGGCAGCTGTTACCTGCAAACAAGAAACACAGAACAGCACCAAAGTATACAGTCTAAATGTAGGCAGTGTAGTAATAAATGAATAAGTGAATAAACATAATGAATTATAACCATCAACTCTATAATGTTAAGCTCTTAATAGTTTAGTGGGTGGCTCTTAAAAGAGCCGTTGTGGGTCAGTCCTGTGGAGGACATGACTGCTGGCTGCCACGGCACTGCTCCCTCTTCACAGAAGTGGGCTATGAACACCTCCCTCACCCTCATGGCCTCTTCTGATGCGTTGTTGGCGCCCATCCGCCTCACATCTGGAAGTGGCTCCTCTCCCTGTGCTCCAGCTGACCTCCAGTCTTCTGCTGTGGGCACAGCCA